ATACAAGTGTTGGTTTTGATACGAGTGTTGTTTTTGATACAAGTCTTGTTTTTGATACAAGTTTTGGTTTTGATATGAGTGTTGTTATTGATACGAGTGTTGGTTTTAATACGGGGGGTTGGTTTTGATGAGTGTTGATATGAGTGTTGGTTTTGTTTTTATTTTCAACTTATTTTTACAATTAAAAAAAAACATTTGTTTTACATCAATCTAGCTATCTGTCTATCACATCAATCTATTTATCTATTTATCTATTTATCTATAATCTATTTATTTATCTATCTTTCCATTTAACCATCTATTTATATAACATATCCATCTATCTATCTTTCTATCAATCTATTTATCCATCAATATTAATCTATTGATCTATTTTTATTTTTATCTTTCTTTCTTTTTTTCTAACTATATCCATATAACTATCTATCTAGTATTTATCTGGTGAAGTATCGACAAGACCTATACTACTATTTAGGATACCTGGAGTGATGTGCATGTGCGTGAAAACTATAGAACCTGGGATTATTGCTACAAGGTTTAGGTTCGGAGAAAACAAAAAAGCGTCAAAATTTAAAAATCATTTCAGTTTGCCATATGTAACGAGAGTTTCAGCAAAATATATCTTTGATAAATTATGATCTGAATTCGTTTCCTTTTCTTATCTGAAATTTATTTTATAATGCTTTATTTAATTTAAATTTTCTTGTGATTTTTTATTTTTACTATTGATTTTGATTATAACTGAAGATGGTCAACCCAATTGTTTACTCTATAAGGTGTGGATCATCCTCATCACCAAAATATTTAGCTAGAAGAATAAAGTTGTACTTCTTGGCCACATCAGATTATTTAAAAATCGGACGATGATTACAATACGTATAATACCTATGACCTTAGCTTTATATTATTAAAAAAAATTGATAAAAATAATCTTTAATTGTTATTTTTAGTTGAATTGGTTTAGTTGAAATCTGCATATTAATTGAACTAGTTGAAATATTAAAGTAATGTCACTACAATTGATTTCAAAGTAAACTATATTTAAGTAAAATATTTTTTTACAAAATAAACTTCAAAAAGACTTTAATATCGAATAAATATATGGAAGACGCCGTTCATAACTATTTATTAACTGTTATGTTTCCTATGAGACACTATAGGTTTGAATTTACTTATTTCTTAATAAAATTATGTGTTTTTACATTAAACCAAGAAAACTTAATTTCTCGCAGTCGTTTTATTACTTAGGTAAAATTAATATAGCAATTCTGAAGCGATTAAAATTAATTTTATGCAATAAAATCGCAATTGGATAATTTTAAGAATTGATTATATAAATAATTAAATTTATTATTTAATTATGAATTTCGACGTTTCTTTATTATACACTGTCCTATGAGTCTTATATGCTGAAAGGTATAACAGACAGAGGACTGTAAATTTATATATAGTTTTTAATTAAACATCGGATATAAATACAGTGATAACCAGAAAACTCTAAAATAGGAAGTCGACTTTTATAATCAAGTTACAACTTAAAATTTTGAGACATAGGAATTGTGCAGTGTAAAGAGACCCATTTAACTAAATAACTGATTTTGCAAGTGTTCGGTAAAAGTGTAATACGATTTGCTTTGTAATATTATCAAATACACTAAATATTGATATGATGTCATCTTTTTAATTTGTAGTTCTCTGGTTTGTAGTATCGCATATTTATTTATAGTTTGATTATTATTCGTTTTATTTTTGCAAACATTCCCTTTGAAGTCTATAGAGGAAAAACTAGGCAGCCGAAAAACTATATATTATCAATTTGGACAAATATGATACTTCCAAGTGTACATTTTGGAATCTTGATTGAACTTAAAGCTGTTGACAATTTTTTCTGAAAGGACGAGAGCATACATGCTCTTGTCTGCTCGACCTAGAGTACAACTGTTCTTGTCTCAAAGACATAGAGTAAACTTGTTCTTGTCTGATAACCTAGAATAAGTCTGTTCTTGTCTGATAGGCCGAAATTAAACATGTTCTTGCCTTTTAGACCTAGAGTGTAACGGTTTTTGTGGTATTATAGTCCTAGAGTAAAACTGATCTTGTCTAGTGTAAACATGTTCTTGTCTGATATACCGACAGTAAACTTGTTCTTGTCTGATAAACCGAGAGTAAATTCTTGTCTGATAGACCTGGATCTGAATATCTTCTGCGGGTTAAGTAAAGATACGAAGGTTGTAGACTAATTCAAAAATATGAAAAATAGTAGCCTAATTTTATAAATACACATATTTATATATAAAATATACAGGGTGTCCCACATCACATTAGATCGTCATCGAGTCTAAATTAAGATTTTCGGGAAGAATCAGAAAATTTAAGAAGAATGAATAAAAAATATTAGGTTATTAAATGTTAGGTTTTTGAGTATTATGCATCAAAAACAACACTCGTATCAAAAACAACACTCATATCAAAACAAACACTCGTATCAAAACAAACGCTTGTATCAAAACAAACACTTGTATCAAAACAAACACTCGTATCAAAACAAACACTCATATCAAAACAAACACTAGTATCAAAACAAACACTCGAATCAAAACGACACTCGTATCAAAAACAACACTCATATCAATAACAACACTCGTATCAAAAACAACACTCCTATCAAAACCAACACTTGTATAAACTGGTATCAAAACCAACACTCTTATCAATAACAACACTCGTATCAAAAAACAACACTTGTATCAAAAACAACACTAGTATCAAAACAAACACTCCTATCAAAACCAACACTCGTATCAATAACAACACTTTGTTAAAATAAATTCGAAATATAAGGAAGACGATTTTTCCGACTCAAATGCCGACGTTAATTCTCAATGTTTGTGTACACAGGAAGCAAGCACACCACATGTGTCAAATCCCCGCTACCAAAACCAACACTTGTCTCAAAACCAACACTCATATCAAAACCAACACTCGTATCAAAACCAACACTCGTATCAACACCAACACTATGTATCAAAACTGACACTTGTCTCAAAACCAACACTACTATCAAAACCAACACTCGTATGAAAAACAACACTCGTATCAAAACCGACACTCTTATCAATCAACACTCGTATCAAAACCAACACTCGTATCAAAAGGCAGCTTGCTCAGTCTCCTCCCCCTCTCCCCACCCCACCAGCTGCTAGTCTATACGCAGGCATCCCACAGATATTATTTATTTGGATCTACAAAATTCAATCCCACTCTCTCTGTTTAGAAAATGTTCAAAATTGACAAATCACATGGATTTAAAGCGCCCTAGAAGCCTAGTATATGTGTATATCAGGTCTATGGTCTAGGGTGTGTCACTGTGTTTGGTTTATTTGAATAAAGATGGGGAGTCAATTAAAATCAGGGGGCGGAAATGTGATGTATGTGTGTCTGTATAAAAGAGTGTGTGTAAGGAATACCGAACCAAAGGCGTGTACTGTAAGTTTATACAGTACATAAGAATCTCGGTATTTGTACAGTCTAGGAGAATACATTTGTTTATTGTTAATTTTTTATTTAAAAATAAGTTTAATATTCATTTAATAATTTACGTTTAAGTCAACACTATAATTATCCAAATTGTCATGCAAAGAATAAAAAATCAATATGAAAAAGCAGTGCGACTGGCTTTTTCATGCCAGACTCGCCAGACCAGTGCCATTTTCTTTCCCTTTTTCCTATTCCCTGATTAAAATTTGTCAAATTAAGGAAGAAGACTGGAATTAAAGGGGGAAATTTCCAAAGACGACATTTATATTTTTCTGAGCAAAGGGAGAGGATAATCAGCTGATTTCGTTTTCTTTTAATTTCAGACAAAATTCATGAAGCAAGCAGTTCGAAACTTCGAAATCGTCTTTTCATTCCTTAATTAGTGTGAGTAGTGTAGGTGCAATTATGATAAATTACTTTCATCAAAAATAGATTTTAGTTTTCAGTTTTTAGATAGAATATGATCTTTAAATGGAAGGGGGGTTGATTCTCAATAAAATCAAGTGAAGATCTGAAAATGAAGAAACAAAAACTCTCGGCGTCTAAATATACGCTGCCGATATCATCCAACGGGTAAGATAAATATCAATTTTATTGTTATTATGGTTGTCACAGTCAGAGCTGTCATCTGCACTTTATTTATTTCTTTTTTTTTGGTAATTTCATAGAAAGATTTTTGGTCCCCACCTTCCTGGTCAAAATTAGACGTGGCCGCAGCGCGCGACCCCCTAGTCTGACCTAGCCGCGGTGCTCGGCCCTTAGCCTGTCCTAGCCGAAGCGCTCGGTCCAGAACCTGTCTTAGTCTAACCCTATAATAATACAAAATAAATAATGGTAAATTCCTAGAGAACGATTTTCGGACCCCTCCTCCCCACCCCCGGCCCTCCCCATCAGTTTTGTACATAGTTATCATTGGTCAGGTGGCCGCAGAGCCCGGCCCCTAGCCTGTACTGTTTACTAAATGTATTACAAAAGAGGATATNTGGGGAGGGTACATTCATGAACAAGGTCTGTACACGGGGGGCCGGGGGCTCGGCCCCCCCTCATACGCCCCTGGTGAATAGCGAGATCTTTCATATAATAAAGCATTTTATTTTGGGAATCTAATTTTTGACAAATATTTATGAAATTTTTAAACTTTTTACCATGCAATCTGAAAGACCCTTCAAAAAAATCCGTGAAACAAAAAAATTAATAAGAATTCGCAAAATAGTATATCAAATACAGATGTTTTTAACTTAATTGTCTTGATTTTTATCTGATATTAAATATACCATTCATTTTTTAGTCGTGGCAATATGCGTGTTCGCTACAGGTACTAAATAATTTAGTCTTTGTCGAACCCCCCAAATTTTCTCATTATCCTTGCAGCCATATTGTGTAAACCTGTTATATTTATACAAGCTAAAGTATTATTGGACAACATTGAGTTCGTGAGCGAGGTATATCTAAACGATAAATACTTAAGAATACAGAGTTAGTTTGATCTGGATTGATACAGACAAAAGTATTAGAACTTATGTAGAGAGCATAGAGTTTGTGTGCAAGTTGTATCTGGATTGATAAATACTTAAGAATGCAGAGTTAGTTTGATCTGGATTGATACATACTTAAGAATAGAAAGATAGTTGTATCTGGATTGATACAGACTAAAGTATTAGTTACATTTAAGATTCGGTGATGGTGATGGACCAAACCTCTGTAGAGTAAAAAAGAAGATGTTAGTTCCTCATTTATCTGGGTTGACCCTCGTCAGTTCTAACGATATAATAACCATCAAAATCGATAAAAGTAAAAATTTAAAAATGTAAAAGATCACAAGAAGATAATTAAACAAAAAAGATTATAAAAAATAAAAAATTAGTCTGTCAAATGGACATAAGGGAAACGAACTCAGATTATGAGATGGAAAAAAGATAATTTGCAAATATTAGTTACAGACTGAAGTATTAGTTCTCGTGTAGAGAGTATAGAGTTTGAGCAAGTTGTATCTGGATTGATACATACTGACGAATACAGAGATAGTTGTATCTGGAATGATACCTACTTAAGAATACAGAAGGCTATTCTTGGATTGTTACTAAGGAGTAGGGAATAGAAGGGAGATTCAACTGACGCGGCCCGCCCTACCATATGATTATGCATGTTTTGCATACGGGTACTACTACTCCATTTGTATAATAAATATTCATAATAGGTTATTGTATATGCGGTAATTGTACATCAGACAAATATTTCTTATTCAAATGGAAGCACGTATAATCATATGGTAGGGCGGACCACGTCAGTTGTATCTCCCTTCTTTTCAAACTCTTTGATTGTCGCTGACTTAAAAGAACAATTGGAGAAAGGCATTTGTTGCATGAAGAAAAAACGCGAAGCAAATGCACATTTTTTCTGATTAGTTCTTGTATAGTGTAAACTATAAGCATACCTTGAACATTTTAACAAATTATAATCTAGCAAAAACTAGTTTCTAAAATTAGATTAACAAGTCAACAGAGCTGGGAACTTTAGAATGGTGGATATCAGTATTAATGCTTGATCCTTTGTTTTTGCTAATCTCGAGACTAACATAATTTCGAGATTATGTTAGTCTTGAGATTAAATATTTATATCAACAAATTGGATTCTAAGAATGCCAGATTGGTTCGTTTCCTTGACTGGAAGGGCCCTCACTTAATTTCTCACCCATTTATTCATCAATAGATTAGTTAATTTTGGTTACAGAAGAATCTTAAACGTATTATTAAATGTTTTTCTTCACCGATTAATTTACAAATGGCCAACAACAAATTCTTTATTTGTTAGAAATTGCGGATTCCTCTCATGGGATAGAATTTATTTTCAAGGCTGTCATTGGTCAATACATTTTACGAACTATATTCCTGCACTCTCATTGGAGAAAATAATGTACGGATATCCAAGGAGAGAGAAAAAGAGTAGATTAAGGACTAAAATTAAAAGTTTCCACAGTGGATATTCGGATTTAGTAGTTGGGATTAAAGGTTATCCATTCTAAAGTTCTAAAGTCTAAAATTTGTGTACAATTATTATGTTCTTGATTAGGCGATATTCACGTTTAAGCGTGTTAGAAAGTTTATCTGAGTAACGTTAAGGAAGATATTGCTTTTCTACCTTCAGAGTGTGAGTTCAGACAAATTTAAATTACTCATTTAGAAACCACAGTCAAAAATAATCAAATTCTAGCGAGAAAAACTAGAATATCTCGTTAAGTAATGACCAGACTATGATTTTAAGGGTACCGTTGTGAATTTAGCATGTCACTTTGTAATGGCGGCCAGGGTCCCATGAAATTACACTTACAGTCCCTTTAGTTTAATGAAAGATAAAGTGTTTCTTTATTTTTGAGATAAGATACAAATTTTGCTGCAATTAAACATGATCTAGTATAAATCATGATGTTGACATGCGACTTCTGTAGCTTGAATAGAAAACCCAGATCTCAACTTAGATATGATAAATACAACTCTGATATTGATGTGTACACTTCAATGTATGTACTGTGTACAGTTTAACCTCCATTTGAAGAAATATCTGTTTACTCTATTTTGTCTTGTTTGTTGTTAAACCATGAAACTATGAAAATAAAATTGAGGACTCTGCACACCAACTGCTTGACTCATCAAATGGGTCGAAATTCTTGCTGTGCTGAAAACTTGAGAATTCTGGATATCGAAATCAATGATTGATCTCATCTTTATATTGATCTGAAGACTTATTTAATCTCACATTAATATCCGGCAAATTGTCTAACCTGTAACTGCCCATCAGAAGCCGAGAAATTACAAATTTTGGCGCGCAATCAATGAAAGAACTCTTATTGGTTCGAACTCGAAGACCGCAGGAATATCCAAAAGAGAGGATTAAGGGTTATAGTTTTCAGCTCTGTTAAATCTTCCTGTCCGAAGGAAGATATTGCAGATTTAATTAAAGTGAACGGGGATATTATAATTTTTATTTTAAAAGATTCCTCTTCCCCATTTTCTGATATGATTCCTTAAATTTTAATTATTGGGGAAGATTTGATCGTTTGTAATTTGATCGCTACAAATATTCTTATCAATTTTTTTAGGTTGTCGAACCCCAGACTTCGTCGATTGGTAGTTCTAGGTCTAGGATTTCTTAGTTTATCCCTTGGTCTCTTTCTCGTCATATATCCTGCTCCAGATCTATCTGCTGAACAGGTTGGTTCATCATTTTCATCATTTTCATCATTTTCAGCATCTTCATTATTTTCATCATTTTCATCATTTTCATCATTTTCATTATTTTCATTATTTTCATCATTTTCATCATTTTTATCATTTTTGTCATTTTCATCATTTTCATCATTTTCATCATTTTCATTTCATCATTTTCATCATTTTCATCATTTTCATCATTTTCATCATTTTCATCATTTTCATCATTTTCATCATTTTCATCATTTTCATCATTTTCACATTTTCATCATTTTCATCATTTTCATCATTTTCATCGTTTGCATCGTTTGCATCGTTTGCATCGTTTGCATCGTTTGCATCGTTTGCATCATTTGCATTATAATCAACTCATACTTTCGCCATTATTCGTAATATACATAATCATCATCATCATTATTATATCACCATCCAGATTTCTTTCCTGAACAGGTTCGTCATTATCTTCATGATCATCATTATCATGTTCATCTTTTCATCATTATCTTGCTCCAGATCTGTTGAAACAGTTTGGTCTTCATCATAATCATAATCATGATTATTGTAATACACATTATCATTATCATCATTATTATCATTATCAGTATCTTCATCTATTTACTAAACAGGTTTGTCAAGATATTTATTGTCGTCATTATTATAATCATGTTCTTGTCGATATCTTTGTCATCATTTTGATGGTCTTAACTATTACCTAATTCTAACTTTTCATCTTGCTCTTATAAATTTCAGGGCTATAATAGTATACATTTTATCTAAGTGGACATGGATCAAACAGATCCAATTTTTAAAATCCCCCAAAGTTGGGGAATATTCTTCTGAGAAAACTCCCTGCTTCGTCATATTCTAATCCTTGTAATATCATCAGTCATTTTATTTTATTTTTTCCTGTGTTGTTTCTAATTTAACCATTTATTTCAAGGATATCCTGAGCAGAATTGCAGAGCTAGATGAAAGATTAAAACATTCCAATGCCTTAAATGATCAGAGGAAAGCAGAGTTAAAGGCAAGAAATAATAAATAATAAATAAAAAATAAAAATTAGTTTGAAGCAAGTTTGTTTTGTTTTTATAACTATTTTTTACAAATTCCCAAAATATTTCTGAAGATCGTCTTTTACCAAGTAACCATGAATTCTGAAAATAAAAATTATTTGCACCAGTTAAATTGCATTTTTTGTATTTTATTCTGTTTTAAATTAAAAATTTTTATTTTTTGTCGTAGGAGATATCGCAGGATTTTACTGAGCTGCTTAACCTTGTAAAACAGCACCAAGATCAATATGAGGTTTTTTATACAATTATTCATTTGAACTTTCGACTTTTTTATGAACCCTATTCACGATGGTACCCTTTTCACTTTCATCTAAGCAACAAAGATAAATAAATCCACAAGTCACGTTTGATGAAAACCGCACTTGAAAATAATCAAGCTTTATAATGAAGAGTGTGGATAACTCCGTCATTTTTGCTGAGACAAAGATTTAAAGGTTTACTGCATGTGTATCAGACATTCCTCTTTGTCCTTACTAAATGGAGGGTCGTTTAGAATAACGTTTACGGTCTCTTTATTCCAATTTTTACTTAGTCTTAGAATAGAATTAATAAAGCATAAACTCTGCAAAAAGAAATCAAAGTTTGTTATCTAAATCTTCTAAATCTTAACACTTAACAACCAAGAGAAATGAGAATATCTTACACATTTTTAATAATATAAAGGATTAAAGGGTATTATTTTGGATTAGGCACTCGGAAGTTATCTTTAACTCAGTCAGATATTTACTTTTTGTTGATATTAATTCACTAATGCAATTGAAAAAATGTTTTATATGATCGAAATGTTCTTCTTGAATCACTGAATGCAAAATTTGTAAAAATCTGTTAAAATTTTAACAAATTACAAAAATCCTTGTTTTGGATTGGAATCTGTGAGAGAGAAAATGGTTATTTTTAATCAGCAGGAAATGGACGGTATTCAGTGGTTCGAGATACATCTTTTCTATTGATAACCAATTGTTTGGATGATTTGAAATTAATTCTATTAAATGTTTTTAGGATAATAATTCTGCTTTGAACCAGAAACTTCACCAGTATGAGGATAAGGGTGAGTTTCAATTATTACCACTTTTAGCTAAAAGATTACGGAGATGTATTTGGAATAATTACATTAAAAAAATTATTTATGATTAATGTGGGGGGGGGGATTGTTTTTAAGAACAATAATGGACATTGTGTCCTTGATGCATGAAGTTCGATAGTCTTAATTGAATCTTTTCCGCCGAACATTTCTAGAAGAAATTCTGCGACCCCTCACATGTATTGCATTATATTATTAGTAGAATTGTAATATATGATGCATGATACTCAGGGAATTTAAAAGTAGAAAAAACATATAATAACTTTATATCAAGTTTGCGCACGTCCGTTTTCGATTTTTCCTCTCAAAGTAATTTTTTTTGGAGGGGGGGGGGTCCTAACAAAATGTAATGCTTCCTAAAACAAGATGTAACGTGATCTCTCAAGTCCAGGGAGAGTCTCCCCCTCCATGAAGGAGGGTGTCAATTTCTCCGTAGTCATTGTTTCAGCTCTGCTATTCACCAGGGGTTGATCTCACAGAACAGGATCCCTGGATCCCTGGGATGAACAGACTCCTAAGAACAGTACATCGGTTCTGCTCAGATATGAGGATGAAGCTTGCGGTGGAGAAGACACGCCGGGTTGTCTCAGGAAACGAGCCCAGCCTGGAAGTGTCTTTGGTAGCCAAGTACTTCCACCTTAAGTGTTAAGGGCCACAACCTGGTTAAGGCGCGCGAGGCTCGGATGATATTTACAGCTCAGTCCTTGTGAGACATTTAGAACAGATCGTCCCCCATCATTTGGGATTGACTTATAGCTTGTTGATAGCTAGGCTTGTGTCCTTGTGAGACATTTAGAGCGGATCATCCCCATCATTTGGGATCGGTATATATATATAAAGCTTAATGATAGCTAGGGTTGTGTCCTTTTTTGGCTTTGTATTAGTAGCTGGATTTGGATAGCTGCGCTTGTGTCCCTGTGTGGCATTTAGAGCTTGGGATTCTGGACTGGTTGAGTTTAATAGCGAACTGACCTTGATAGATACATCTAGAGAGATTGTAATGGATTAAGTGTTTACTACAGTGATACCTCATCTGCGGATGTCCGGTGAGGCTGGGTGTCCACCCGATGGCGGTTCTCCAACCAGGGGGGGCTTTCAGAGCTTTTTCTTTATATATTGAATGCTTCCGAAACAAGATGTAATGCTTCATCAAACAAGATAATGTTTCCTGAAACTGGATTTTATGTTTCCTAAACAAGACACTTTGTTTCCTAAAACAAGACTTTCTGTTTCCTAAAACAAGACTTTCTGTTTCCTAAATCAAGATGTTACGTTTCCTCAAAAAGTGACGCTATGTTTCCTAAAACAAGATGCTATGATTCCTAAATCAAAACTGTATGCTTCCTAAACCAAGACGTTATGTTTACTAAAACAAAATGTCATGTTTCCTTATACAAATCGTTGTGCTTTTCTAAAACAAGGCGTTTTCCTTTTCTATGACGAGAAAATGATAAAATATAATATAATTCTAAATTAAACAGTTATAAAATGTTTTAGATATTTTTTTGTTTAGATTTTGTCCCTGATGTTTATTATGAGGACTTGCCACCTTTTAACAACCAAAAAAATGATTGATAGTCTAAAATTCACCGCCAATATATTTTTAGAAATGAAATATCTATAGAAAAAATGACTAATAATACTTGTAAATCTCACTTTTTGTTAAAATTAGAAATATATATTTTCACAACAGAATGTTTTTTTGAACTACATAATAGAACAGGTTGATTCCCACCAAAACATTGCTTTAAGCTTCAAGGTTGAGTTCTGGCAATTATTTATTGGTTTCCCGTCATATTTTCAATTTTCTGTAACATATAATATATAAATATTTAAAGAATCGGCTTCAAATTAAAAACATTGCCTTCAAGGTTGTGTTCTGGCAATTATTTATTGGTTTCCCGTCATATTTTCAATTTTCCATAACATATAATATATAAATATTTAAAGAATCGGCTTCAAATTAAAAACATTGCCTTCAAGGTTGTGTTCTGGCAATTATTTATTGGTTTCCCGTCATATTTTCAATTTTCCATAACATATAATATATAAATATTTAAAGAATCGGCTTCAAATTAAAAACATTTTAACTTATTTCAGAATCTCACTAGTCTCTATACATGATGTTTCATGCCTGCGCCAATCCTCACCAGATATATATTATTGTTCTTTTTACTGTAAAACTATCAAAAATTGTTAGGGCCGAATGGGTCATAATGTTGATCATTAAAGCTTAATTTCAGACGGACTTAGAATATTATAAATGTTTCTAGTCGTTAATGTGCCTTCCCCCATAGTGACTGAAGTCGTAACTTCAAGTTACTTTCCATTTTTAGAAAGATACCTTCGATGCTCAGTGGTACCCTTAATAGCTTTGTCTAATCAAAAATAAATTATAAATTCATGTTTAAATCTTTAGAAATTCAATATGTTTTGCATCTAGGGTTGTTTGCTGGTAATATGAGTGGAAGGTTTGACCTGACCGTACCTGGGCTAGCTGCCTTTCTTCCTAATACACTTAGATCTTCCAGGCAGATATTCTTTTTTATAATACTTCAAAACCAACTATGCGGCATTCATCGACGACCAATTTATTTCACAGTTTGTTCTTGTTTTTAAGAACTGACGAGGGTTAACCCAGACCGAAATATATTTTCATTAAATATGGAACTACCATCTACTTTTTTTACTCTACAGAGGTTTGGTCAATCACCATCACCGAATTTTAAATTAATTTTCCTACATTGTTTCTAACATTACTTTGCTGAACTCTAAATTTGGATAGTTTTCAGAATGTTTCAGAAATTTTAATAGATTGAATAATTTTAAAATAATTAACCCGACAATAAAAAACTTGTACCTAGCAACAACAAATATCTCGGGTTTCAACTGAATATAAACCTTCCTTAGGGTCATGTGAGACCCATCGAAATATTTTGAGAAGGACAGACAGACAAACAGTGTAACAAAATGTCTTAAATGTTTTTAAAATTTTACGGGTTATAAACTATTACACGTTCTAAAAATATCGGAGTCGTTTTATAAATTCAAAACTGTTAGTTTAAGAATTTGCTCCCTTGACTAAATTTTGACTTGACAGAAAAAAATCTAAAACCGATCAATTTTAAACGATCATTTTCTGCATTTGTGTAGGGACTTCTTAAAATTGTAAACCCTTTTAATTTCTAGAAAATTCAAAAAAAAAAATTTCAGTCATTTATAATACTTCTCTGGCAATGACGTGTTTGAAAAAGAGAAAAAAAAACTATAAATACCTTTCTATTTTTTTATAAATAGTTGAAAAGAATATTATTGTTAAGAGCTTTACAGCCGGCCATAAAAATATCCAGGGATAGGAATCATGTCTCCATGGTCATAGGTGAGTTGAATAGTACTATGTATAGTTTTTGACAATATGAACGAGGTGAAGAATGAATTCAGTTATTTTATTATCCATTGCAGGATTTATTGGCTGTGTGATATTGATTGTGTTGAGCGTATTGGTGTTTTTGATCATATTGATTTTATTGATAATATTGATTTTATTGATTATATAATTATATTGATCATATTGATCTATTAATCACATTCATTTACTGATCAATCGATTTTTTAATTCGTAAATGTGAGGATTGATCAATGTTTAAATGCGAATATAAATTAAACTGCACAAATACTGCAGTAGACTTAATCTTGAATTCAATTATTATTCAGCTAATAAATCACATTTCTTCTGCAGTCTGCACAAAAACTTTTTATTTCTTCTGCAGTCTCCACAAACACTTTTTATTTCTTCTGCAGTCTACACAAACACTTTTTATTTCTTCTGCAGTCTGCATAAACACTTTTTATTTCTTCTGAAGTCTGCACTAACACTTTTCATATCTTCTGGAGTCTGCACAAACACTTTTTATTTCTTCTGAAGTCTGCACAAACACTTTTTGAGGAGTAAATATGTTTTTGATTTGCTAGTAGTTATTAAGATTGTTAAATTATTACTTGATTCAGTGCCGCTAGAATGATTCTAAAACGGATTTTTATTAATTTTCATGAATTTATGTTTAGGAAGAAATGAAGGATACCTTGGTGATCGTTTTTATCGCAGAAACAGATCCTGAAGCTGTTTATCAGGTAAAAACAGATACTTGAACCTGTTTATCAGGTAAAACATATCATGAATCTGTTTATTATGTAAAACAGATCATGAATCTGCTAATTAGGTTAAAAAATCTTGAATTTGCTTATCAAGTTAAAACAGATCCTGAAATTTTTTATCGGTAAAAACCGATTTTCTATTAATAAAAAACGTATCAAATAGCAAATTGTTCTGGATATGTCTGGATATGTCTGGATATGTCTGGATATGTCTGGATGTGGCAGTAAGATGTCTTAAGTCTGCTTTTATTTATTCCAATTTGATTTGAAGGGGAAAATGGGGCCTTGAACTAGTGAACCGGATAACTTATTCATCATTTATCAATTTTTGTTTTTATTTGTCATTAGCTCAAAAAGAAATAAATTGGTTTTTTTTAGGTTTCATCCGAGATTCAGGCACACTTCAGCAAACATTTTGATTCAGGTTTATACAAATATATATTTTCTAAATTAGAAACAATTCTTTATCTATTTTAATCAAATTCAATTCAGTAAACAGTATTCGGAATTTAAGATTTAATTTTTGAATTAGGAATTCAACTTTTGGGAATTTAGTACTTTACATTTTATTGAATATTTATTGTTTTGAGTTCCGAATCCTGAATTCAGCCTTTGGATTTCCTTGTTTTTCTATTTGAAAATTTATGATTTTAACTAAAATTACTTTAATTGACAGAATTTAACACTAAAAAAATATAAAAACGGAAGTATCTTCCTCATTATTGCTCATATTAAGTTTTATTGAAAACCGTTGTGAATCTAACATGTGGCTCTTGAAATTAGGTTGACAGTCCCTTTAATTTAGGTTTACTGGAGGTGGTCTCCCCTCCTGCTGAGTTCTATCCTGAAATGTCGTCTTTAAAGCAAACTCTAGGAGACGAGATGGAGAGGGTTGTTTGGAGGAGTAAACAGGTTCCATTCATTCCTCATTCATCCTTTCTTTCATTCATTTATTCATTCATTCATCCTTTCATTCATTCATTCTTCAATTAATTAATCCTTTAATTAATTCTTTCACCTTTCTATCAATTAATCATTTAATTCAATCCTATTCGTCTTGTCATTCATCAATTCATTCAATCTCCTGTTAATTAAATCATTTATTATTCATAAGTATTTATTTTTCAATTAATGTATTTTTAATGTTTTTGATCAATTCATTAATTTTTCAATTAATGCATTCAGTCATTCTTTTACATCACTTATTCACCCATTCATTCAACTATCAATCAATACAATCTTTTATCAGTCAACTTATTTATTCGTAAAAGGGACTAAAGATGTAATTTCAAGTGACCCACCATCTATAAAGCGGAATGTACATTGTCCAATACACAACGGTATCCTTTAAACCGATTAAGAATGAATGATATCCTTATTTATTAGCTAAAAAATTGATTCTTTCAATTGTAGTTTCTCGAAAATATATCCTTGCGGATTTACATATTAGAGAGTAAGCGGGAAGTTTTCAGAATTTAACATTTTTGAAGATAGAAAACGTCGATATCTTTCTTCTCATTGTTTCTTAGATAAAGGCTTAAAGGGTTCCGTTGTGAATCGGACTTTTTTCTCTTATAATTTTGTGTCACATGATATTACGTCTTCGGTCCATTATATCAATCAATTATGCAATTAACATTTATCAATTGACACTGAGAATACACATTTTAAGGACAAAAAAAAATCGTTTAAAAAAATCGAACTCCTCATAAAATATTCAACAAAAAGGGGGTGGGGTGGTTGTGGGTAAGACATACAATTTTTTAGAATTTGTTTTTACTATCCTATTTTCTAATTTAAAAAG